CACCACCATCAGGTATCTTGTCCTGGTAGTATCTGCTCCTGGTGACCAAGCCAGCAACAAAAAAACTGGTAGGGATCCGGACTTCTTTAAGCTTTTAAATCAGCTCCAGTGTAAAGTAAAGCCCTCACTCAATGGTAAAAGTTGTGCAGTTCTGGCAAAAAAAAGGTAACTTAATCAAATCACGTAAAGACAGCAGCAGGGTAAGGGTTTCTAAGCTAGCTAACATACACTTTTGTAAATACATCTCTTCATAAGCCCCACCTACTTCAGAAGAGTGAACTGGGCTTAAATTATAGACGCCAGACTAAACTGGAAAAAAACAACAGTTTCAGTTAATACTTTTGCGCTCTGTAACTCACTGTTGGCATCTGTCATGGTGGAGCCACTTGATCAGGTGGTGAGGGGTGCAAAGGCTCAGTAGCCAGGTTGGGGAAAATAAAACCAGCATATAATGTCTTATTTTCTTTGATAATTATTCATGTTAGACATCTGAAAGATGAAAAATGCACACCTAGTGTGATGCATGCTATTAATTTGAGAGATTATGTGCTGTCATGAAGCAGCTTGGGCAGTAATACAAAACAATGTGCTGCTATTAGATTCTGTTGAACCTTTAACATATTCTGGCTCCGGTCGTTATTGGTCCTTAATGGCCTCACTTCCTGTGTCGAGGAAAATTCATGAGAATCTGATAGAACGTCATTTAATGAGTCCAGCCAACACTAAAGTGATGATAATGATCCTTGCATGACAACGACCTAACATCCAAAGCCACACACACACACACACACACACACACACACACACACACACACACACACACACACACACACACACACACACACACACACACACACACACACACACACACACACACACACACACACACACACACACACACACACACACACCCATACACACAGCCTTCCTCATTTGCTAATTTGTATTCATCAGGAAAAAGACAGCAATGATTAGAGGTTTGAAGGGAATATGTGTGAGATGATGCATTTCATTGTGCATGTGTGTAAGCAGAAGAAACGGCTCACACTTGAACAAAATAATTATCTGCTCTATACTGAATGAATCAAATGATTGACGCTCACAATAACACACACATACATTGTCAAGTCCGTTTTCTGCAGCCCACCCAAGTCTTTCCGCACTGTGACCTGGGAGTTGACGGTTCACCGTGCAACATACTTTTCACAATCTCTTGCAGTTAGCAATTAGGCTGGCAGGCAGAAAACACACAGTCAACATTCATAAAGTCAAACACAGCCTCACGTACGCAAAAAATAACACAGGCAGACACAAAAAACAGGCACAGAGCTGCAGCTTTTCTCCAAAGGGCTGACAGACAATAACAGCCTATATCGATTGTGCTGCTCTTATGCTAAATGTAACTGGGTGATGTACAGCACCAAGGATTACTTGTTGGTCATTTAAACTTCTGATTGTGACACTACATACATACATCAATATGAAAGCCCCTCTTTTCCTGTTATAGCATGTTATTGATGAAAAGAGCTGTGTGGAATAATAGTCAGACAGGAGCAACGAGGCTTGGAATAAAACACATCACCAGATGAGACAGAGAGAGAAATGAGAAAAATAAAACAATAACAAATTTGTCTGAAAAGAGATATTTCCTGTGTTTTTTTTTTATATTGTGGTTTTAAAGGTGTGGGACTCTACAAAAAATGTTTATATTATTTCTGATTATAATTGGTCACTGTGAGTTTTTCATGTAGGCTGAACATGAAAATAGTCTACCCCAATTAGTTTCTGATAGAAAATAGAAGGAGAAACGCTACAATTTGAAAAGCCTGACAGATCCACATCACACTGTCACTTAACAGTCATCAACTACCCTATCTGGACTCACGACGGGAAGGCTGTTGCTGTGTTAGCATCGTGGAAACAGAGAACGTCTCAGCTAGTAGAAGCTAACCATTAGCATTAAACTTCACAACTCAACAGAACTTCTTTAGACATATGTTTTTTATGGTGATAAAACATCCATGTTGCAGAGCAGAGTCAGTCATAGAGTCACGTTACTGGTATCCAATCAGAGGATAGATGTCCAACCATCAGAAAATAAGAGTCTAAAACCTGCCGCCTGAAGCTACTTTCTACTCCAGCTGACTTGTACTTCCTGATTCAAGTGCATCAGAAATCACCCCCTTCCAGAGAACAACTTACATGTACAAGGCATTATACTAAAGACCATTGCAAATGTATGGATTTAAATGAGTGAACCACACCTTTAAAAATGATGAATCCAACTTGTTGGCCTGACTAGAAGGCAAATAATTGTTTAACAGGAGTGCTCTGTGTTTGGGTAACAAAAATGAGCGGTAAAGGAATATATGAAAGAGTAGTTTATGACTTGTGTAGTGTGATTATGTGGAATGATAAACAACATCTTACATGTGGTAGATTTTTACTGCCTTAGTTTGGAGGGAAATGCATTTGCTTTGACTGGAAGGATTGGATTTCTGCCACCAAAGAATCACTACAGTTCATGCAAACTGAAACCAGCATTTATGTCACTTCACAAAGTTATGTAGATTCATGTCTGTTGTTAATTGCAGATGAAATCAGTTGCAGTGATGGCAGTTACAGCATGCCTGGTTGGAGTGGACAAATTACGCTAAACAACTTTTGCATCCTTTTCTACTGCCTCTATAAACACTCCAAATGTAAAATAGTTTACATTTACACCTTTTTTTCCCCCCATCAGTGTAAGGTTTAGGAATCATATGTTTAAAACAAACTTCAAAAATTTCAGAGATTGTGACGTTGCAAATGAGGAAATAAGCATAGAATCATCTCTCACTTGAAGGAAGGCAAATGTTGCTGGAGGAGCAGCTGCTCCACTCTAAGCCCCTCTCTGATACCAGAGCTTCTCAGCTTATAGCAGCCTATGTGGGGATGTGGGCGTGTCCATTTACAGCTTGTTTACCTTAAAGTGAAAGAGCCCTGAAAGGGCTCATTTTGGAAGGAACTGAAACATGTTTTGTACAGATCTTAGGACTATTAGAATAGAAGTCCTAACTGGTCGTTTTACACTGATGGATAAAACTTGGCAAATAGAAATATGTGGAAATGTAAAGACCATAAATAAATATTACCATAAACTAACGAGATGTTGTTGACATTAGGAACGTTTTAATTGACTTTGTGACCGACTCCATTATGGCTTAAAGTTAGCTCATCTGTTTAATCAGAACTAATTCCTGTTTCTCCAAACGTTCTCCAAAGAGCTCTCTGTAACAGGTAAAATATTTAATGCATGACTTTTCCACTGAACCCAACTTTAAAAGAAGTAAACTTTTACTTTCCTACAAACATATTTTAATTTTCAGTTGCTTTCATGTTTTGTGTTTTTTAATTTACGGAATTATTAATAAAAACCTTGTTTCCACTCAGATTTCCACATTAATCATTTGTTAAAACTAGCAAATCTTCAGAGAGAGTAATTTCTGCCCTCATGGTAGCAATTCAAATGAAGGCAACAAAACTCATAGAAAGTGTAAAGTGAGGGTTTTCTTTAGTTGTTAGATAAGAAATGAAAATGTGTCAAAATAAAACTACCTCCTGCCACAAAATCCATATTATATGTACTTGTGGTGCCATGTGAGAATGGTAGTGGTGAGAATGGCCGCTCGCTTTTGAAAAGCACGTCTTAAGAGGCAGCCCACTCTCAGCTGGTATAAATCAGATTAGAGACTTTATTAGAAGCTCGTAGCAACATGGATGATATGAATCTGCCCAGTAATCCACTAAAACTACGTCACAGCCCACCACTAGCTCTCAGCCACCTCTCAAAGTGCCATTTCGCTTCGCCAAGGTCAGAAAGACACCGATGGGGAACAAAAAGTCATCGTCTCCCTACTCCTCGGTCTGCCTTTTATATTTTCTATTCTCTCTCCTCAATTATACCTCACAATTTCTCAGTCCTGCTGTCCTGGTGCCCAGGGGTGAGCAGACTCCGTTTCTATCCATCTTTAGAGAAAACTTCACGTGTCGCGACGCATGTCACGTGTCAAGCACCTTTTCAGACATTCAGTGCTTTTACCTTTTCTTTCATCTCCTTCCCTAAATAGTTGCTGAATATTCAGCAGCCTTTTACTCGTCTTTCGTCCATCTGCAGTTTTCATTGAACTCCCTGCTGTCTCACTTCCCCTCTTTGCCTTTCTATCTCGTCCCATCTTCAATCTTAGCATTTTAGACAAATGAGAGTTAAAAGGAGGCAGGCAGATGACAGAGCAGAGCCGATCACAGAAGAAGGAGGGGAGACAAGAGGAGAGGCGAGGGAGAGGGAAGGAGTAAAGAGATGAGGTAAAAGTATACAAGTGTGGGGAAATAGAAAAATAGAAATCTACAAAAAGCTCAATCTTAGACGTTGTTTGGGTGTCATTTATGAGCTCTTATAGACTTAAAATCACAAACTTTATAGCTTGTAAGAAACTAAACTCAATTCTAATCCAAGAAGACAAACAGAAAACCTCAAGACAATCAACGTCTCCTAATGGCTGAAAAATGTTCTTGTGTTGCTTTATTATATCTTTATGGCAAGTTGCAGTTTAGGCAAGTGCCAAACTCTTTGTGAACAACATTGCCGCTAAATGATTTATGGTCTTCCAGAAGCAGCCAAAAATGTAGGTTTCATATCAGCTTTTTAGAACAAAAAAATTACAAATATTCAACATTTCTTTATAGAACTGAACCAGATTTTGTATTTGTTCAAAGAAAAGCTAAAAGAAACAAAACTAAATCTTTGTTCATAAATCATCTAAAGAGTCTATTTAGTTAAAGTAATTTTATTATTGCTTAGCATTATTATTTCAATTGTTTTCTCTGCCAAAAACAAACATGAATAAAGACACAGGGGTTTTTGTTTGATGGCATATAAGATGCATACTCTCTTTATGTCATGCTGCACTGGTTGTTTGTGTTTAGCTTTTGAGGAAATAAAAATGTTAAACTAAACTCACCTTCTCAGAGTCCATTGCAGTTATGACCCACACACAGTGTGCGTTGTTCTCATACTGAACAGGGTAGTTAGGAGACGTTATGACCCCTTTGGGCCCCCTTAGATTGCTGCCACAGGTCCGAGCTACAAAATAAGAAGACAAGCAAAAAACACAAAACAAAAACAAAGTGAAATGGAGCTTCAGCAAAAAGGAAAGAAAAAAAGTTTTAGAGGATAATGTAATTTATGCTAGCAGATCACGGTCAGACATTTATCTAAAAAATAAAACGGGCTGATAATCTGTGTCAAAGTCAAAGACATTTATAGACACTGAATCTGGCTCTTTGCTGCACATTTATACAAGAAGCCTTCTCAATGGAATGCTCACATGGTTCTACATATCCTGCCTTCCTTGCATTTTGCACTGCTGCCTTTCAATTGATGATATTTTATTATTGAGTGATTCCTCAGCATTGTGCTTTTGCAGGTTCAGCAAACTTAAAGCACTGCACGAGTCAGACAACTCAATCACATGTGAAACACTTCTCTGAACTGAAATTATATTTAAGGGTGCACAACACACAAAAACACATTGTTTAGACTCAGTTTATGGCATAAAAACATGTCTCCACAATTTGGTCTGTGCTGAGGTTGTGAGGTAACCAAGTTTATATTTGTAAAAATGACATGTATAAAAATTCCAATAACACACCCAATAGTATAATCAAAACTGCATAGGAGTCATAATGTGTCTGTATAAAGTTTATAGGTTTCTTTTATAGTGTGTGTGTGTGTGTGTGTGTGTGTGTGTGTGTGTGTGTGTGTGTGTGTGTGTGTGTGTGTGTGTGTGTGTGTGTGTGTGTGTGTGTGTGTGTGTGTGTGTGTGAGTGTGTGTGTGCTGGCGCAGCTTCATTCAGGGGCGACGTTTACTTCTCAGTATCCAAAATAATAATGAATCCTGCATACGGGAATCCCCTTTGGGTTGATTCTATCTGCCAATCGGAATTCCCTTAATGGCCAATCAGTTGGCAGTGGGTGGGTTGGACCTGTTTAGCAACTGACTGGTTGAGCACTGACAAATCCAAGGCCACCTAGATGTGAACACTTTAAATGCTCCGCCGTTCGGTCCGTGCTGGTCCACCAGATTTGAAAGCGCCAACAGTCCCTCCAGCATGCCCTGGGTCTTTTTTTAGGTGTCCTCCCGGTTGGACGTGCCCAAAAATCCTCATCGGGGAGGCGTCCAGGAGGCATCCTAACCAGTTGCCCGAGCCACCTCAAATGGCTCCTCTAGGTGTGGAGGAGGATCAGATCTACCCCGAACCACTCCCAGATGACCAAGCTTCTCACCCCATCGAGAGCCCAGACACCCTGTGGAGAAAGCTAATTTTTGCTGTTTGTAACTGTGATCTCATTCTTTTGGTCACTATCCAAAGCTTGTGACCATAGGTTAGGGTAGGAATGTAGATCAACCGGAAAATCTTCCGGCTCAGCTCTTTCTTTAACACGACAGACCGGTACAAGGCCCACATCACTGCACACGCAGCACCAATCCGCCTAGCGATCTTTCCCTCATTCATGGCCGAGACCCTCAGATACTTAAACTCCTCCACTTGGGGCAGGACCTCATCCCTGACTCAGAGAAGGCAATACCCTTCTCCAACATGGCTTTGGAGAAGCTGACTCTCATTCCAGCAGTTTTAAAACATCTGATTACAAAAAGCCCTAAAATTATTAAATTGCACAAAAAACACCAATGTATACTGAAACTTCCTTGCAACAAAACACGATGATTCATGCCTCTATTGTTTTTTTTCTTTCCCAAGTGCTTTTTTGTAGAAATAACAATTGTGTTTGTGACACTCATTGTGACATTTCTTGGCTAAGTGCATCACAAAGTTAACCTCCTGTTATTTCTTCAAGTGGATGTTTGGGCAAGGAACAATTGTAATCTATCAAAAGTTTTTCATCAATCCCTCCAGGGCACAGGAATACCAAAAGGGCTAACTTGACAGTTTTAACAGTTTCCCTCCTCCCATTTTTTTAAAGAAAACTGTCAACCAACTGAAAATCTTTTTTATTTTTCTTGCCCCTTATCCCTGGAGGAGCAAAATAATTTTAGACAAGAGGACACAGCATACCCGCAGGACTCTTACGGATCAAACTATCAACGGTTTGCCTAAAAAAAGTTAACACAAAGTGAGGACGTTGGCGAACACAGTTTCAGGTAAAAAAATAGGAAAACATAAGAGACTGAAGTCAGACAGAGGTGAAAAGAAGAAAGCAAACACATTCAACGATTGTAATTTGAGAAAAGATGAACAAAAAGAGACAGAGGAAAAGCATGAGGCAAGAAAAATATGTGAATTGTTGGGAGAGAAAGGGAAAGAAAAGAGGACCCCATGACTGATCTGACTATTAGTTAGAAAAGAGAGCTGAAACAGTGTGGTACACACTTCTACGTGGCCTCACAGAAACACATTCATTGTAATTCATCCTACAAACCAGATACTAATTAACTGTAAAGTCTCAGAAGAGAATGAGAGAGGCTCACGGGTTTGAATCCCACAAGAGTGATCACACCAGATAATGCAACACACCAAAGCTGAAGTGCACAGTAGACACTTTTAACCTCTGCTTCCCTGCTAGCAGCCTACTGATCTCTCTCTCTCTCTCTCTCTCTCCTCTTCTCAATCTTACTACTCCTTTATGTCTGTTTGTATTTACACCCTCAAATTATTTTGGTGCAAGAGATCTAACGAGACGAATAAAAGTAAAACAAAATGAACATACAGTTTCCAGCTGGTGCTCGGTTCACGCTGTGTTTTGTCATCCTGAAAACTCCCCCTCTTGAATTCCACTAAATATATCTTTTGTAGTATGAAAGTATGACAAGGAGTTGTTCCTCATTTCCTAAATATAAATTTTCTGAAATTGCAACTTTTTTTTGCTTCTTTGATAGAAACGAAAATGTAATATGTAGTGAGTGAAATACCCATTTTCTGTTCTGCACAAGTCACATGGATGAATTCCATTTTAAACATCTTAAGAACACCAGTTTATGTAACACAAAGTTATTTCATTCATTCAGGGAGCATGCATTGAGAAGTGTAACAGTTAGATGTATAAGTTGTACGTCAATCTGTCACGAACTCCTCCCGCTGACTCCACTACCCAGCATTCTCGCCACCACTTCCCATCATTCCTGCTACCAACGTGGCGGCTGACGTCATCACGCCGACAGAACTTAAGGAAGTGCCGGCATTTCATTCATTACTCAGTCATCGTTCTCACCAGACTTTGTATCGAGTTTCCAGGCTTACCAGCCCTCAAACCTTCAAACCTGACCTACAGGAGATAACCACGCTGGTTATCTCCATCACTCCGCATCTGGGCAACAGATCCTCTCAACCACGCTTCAGCTCTGCCACCGAACCTGACACAATCCATCTTCCTGCTCCCAACATCAGACCCTGCTCCTCCCCCTGAAGCGAGTCTCTGGTGTGAAACCTTTCTCCCCAGGTCAGTTTAGGATATGTGGCATAGCCGACAAGTGCCGGGGGCAACGGTGGCACAGGAGTTAAGTGCTCGTCTGGTAATCAGAAGGTTGCAGGTTTGAGCCCCGCTTAGTCTGTTAGTGTTCTTGTGTCCTGGGCAAGACACTTAACCCACCTTGCCTGCTGGCGGTGTTTGGAGGGACCGGTGGCGCCTGTGTTCAGCAGACTCGCCTCTGTCAGTGCGCCTCAGGGCAGCTGTGGCCACAATGCAGCTCATCCCCACCAGGGTGTGAATGGGTGAATGACTGATTGTGTTGTAAAGCGCAAAAAAAAAAAAAAAAAAAAAAAAAAACTAAAAGAAAAGCATGCTATAGTTTCTCATGAAACTTTTTAGAGCTAGCTTAATTCTAAATCTGGATTTTCCCTTTCACAGTTTGACTCTCACATAATTGATCATTTCTGACAGGAGGTGCCAGTATCATGGATTTAGGCATGTGAGCTGTGGTCTCAGAGAGTCACGCAGTCACAACACAGGCACAAACACACATACACTTAACGACACACACGTCGACTCTATAACGCAATGTGACAGGGACCCTACAGTACGTGTCTGAGCACAGGGACTGGCTGTCCGTCAAACACACCAACAGTTCAAGGCCAAGGCTGCAGCAGATTTTAGCTGTGTGACATTATCCTTTGGATACTTGCTGTCAGTGCGTGTGTGTGCTTGTGAGTGTGTGCACAGACACATTTTGGTGTGTATGCTGGCTGGCTGCCTTTTCATTGTGGAGCCCAGTTGGGCATTGTCTGTAACTATGAGGGCGGTGCGAGCCCATGTTGCTTCTCTGCCATTCACATATATAGAAAAATAAAATGTTAATCCAGCTGAAATCATCATCGTCATCATGTAGCCATCTATACTTTTGGCAATTTCAGACATTATCCTTCAGAATTTGTTGCATTGCAACACATATGTGCATCTGGAATAGAGACTTATAAAACTGCTGACTGAGTCAGTGAGGAAACACAAAGATCTAGGACCAAGCTTTAAGTAATGCAGCTTTGGAATGACAGCCTGGGGCTTTTCGGCTAAAGTTATTATAATATGCAACGTCTGCATTATTATTTCATCACTTTAATATCATAGGAAATCCTCCAAAGACACATAATTACTAATTTAACCCAACATGATTTAATTGTTTGTGTGGCTACATTCCAATAAAGCTGTCACTGCCACATAAAACCACGGCTTCCCAAGATATCCTAAAAGAATGACAAAAATATATTAGGAGTATGAGGCTTTTGCATTGCTACGTCTTGCTTCATGATGAGCATGCAGGTCTGGTTTTATTGCTCCATTACCTACTGCAAAGCATAGAAGACAGGTCTGAATCTGCACCTTCAGGTTAATAATACTTGTGATATTAACTGTGCTTTGCCTGGGTAAGGTTAAAAAATAAAGTCCTTGACCATGACACAGAATTTCAGATACACACGTCAGCAACTGACAGCTACATTCCAATCATTCTGATTAAAACTGAGAAATTGTTAAGAACTAACCAAAACATTACCCATAAAATGGCTGAACTGACTGTCAGGAATTGAGATTCTGATGACCGTCCTGATTGAAGCATGAGGTCTAAATAAAATCCCCCAGGAGCTGAAAAAGGTCTCCGGCCTCAGACTCTATGTATTTAAGCTTCTACACAAACCTATAGTCATGAGCTTTGGGTCATGACTGAAAGAATGAGATCGCGGATACAAGAGATAGGATGAGGAGCTCGGTCATCCAAGAGGGGCTCAGAGTAGATCTGCTGCTCCTCCATATCAAGAAGAGCCAGTTGAGGTGGCTCAAGCATCTGTTTAGGATGCCTCCCGGACGCCTCCCTGGTGAGGTTTTCCGGGCACGTCCAACCAGGAGGAGACCCAAGGGAAGACTGAGGACACGCTGGAGGGACTATGTCTCGCGGCTGGCCAGGGAACACCTTGTGATTCCCAGCCCTAGTGGCTGGTGAGAGGGAAGTCTGGGCCTCTCTGCTTAAGCTGCTGCCCCCACAACCCAATCCCGGATAAGTGGAGGAGAATGGATGAATCACTTTTTTGATTAATATTTTTTTCCTATATTTTTCACAAACACCATTAATCTCAATGCTTTAGGGGACAACATTATAAGATGTAGCTATGACATGCAAACACCTGAAGACATTTAAGTTATGTTGGTGAGAAAAGATCTTACTTCTGCAGATGGGTCTGTGGTCACTCCAAGCAGCCAGTGTGTCAGTGACTCGTTGGCAGGTGATACTTTTAGATCCGTGCAGAACATAGCTGTCATCACAGCTGAACTGGACACTGGAACCAATTCTAATTGGAAAGAAACAAAAGTGACAACAATGTGTTAGGGAAGGAGCATTTTTTAATACTGGTTAAAAGAACAAAAATACAAGAAATTGTAGAAAATATTTTGCCAATACTTGTTTATTCATTAGCTTTTTCTTTCTGCTTCAGTCTTATGGATGATGTTTTTCACAGTTGTCAGTATTTGTTCTAATCATTCTTGTGTTGAAAATCTCTTTTGAACACAGTGGGTGAAATCCACTCATCTAAGTGAAGGTATGTCTCTAAAGTTTACTGTCTCCTTCTTTAAGCAAACACAACACCCAACTCCACTCGTTAACTTTTTACACTTTTTCAACAGGAACTGACAATGCCAAGTCAAAAAACTTCCAGAGGTGGCATATCTGGGATATTGGAATTGCTAAAATAGCATAACAAATCTGAGACTTGTTGTGTACCTTAGGATGTTCATGTTCTTAACATCCATGTGGTTGTTCCTACTCTTTCACTGTATTTTTACTCATAGGAAGAAAACTTAACCATCTAATTTTTTCAGATATGCATGTGAAATAATATTCAACTAGAATATGTTCAGCTCGGTGGATATTTTTCTTTATACCGGTGTTAAAAGGTGTAGCACCAGGGCTCCATGCTTGGGCCTCTTCTTTTCCCTTTTTACAAAAGCGTCCATTTTCTGTATATGGTCCTAAGAATGAGCCCCCTCTCCTTGTTAAGCAGTGCCTGTCACTCAGCATTTTTTAAACGTGTTTTAAAGGAATTTCCCACCCTTAACTGAAATGTTGCCTGTGCCATATTCCCCAGAGTCAGATAAGTGGGAAAATGCATTTTGTAATCAGCCCAGTCATTCTCCTAATCTGGCAGTATATTGTATACTTGGTACGCTTGGTTACAGTTCTGACCATCTTTGGTTTTACGTTAGTTTTTCTTAATATTTCATCAAAGTTTATTGTTTTATGATGCATTACTTTGATCGTGTTTTCCTATGATCCTCTGCACAGCACTTTGGTGAGCTCCGACAACTTGTGTAAAGTGCTCGATAAATAAAGCGGCCTGGTATGGTATTGTATAGTATTGTGTGGCATGGTTTGGTATGGTATGGTAGTGTGTGGTATGGTGTGTTATTGTGTGGTATGGTGCGGTGTGGTACAGTACGGTGTTATGTAGGTATGGTATGATATAGTGTGGCATAGTATGGTATGGTGTAATACGGTACCATATGGTGTGGTAGTGTATGGTGTGGTGTGGTGCATTACAGTACAGCATGATACGGTATGGCATGATGTGGTGCGGTACAGTACAGTGTGATATGGTATAGTAAGGTATAGTGTGGTATAGTATGGGAAAGCATGGTGTGATATGGTGTGGTATAGCATGGTATGGTATGGTATGATATGGTATGGTATAGTGTGGTATAGTGTGGTATAGTATGGTAAGGTATGGTGTGATATGATGTATGGAATAAAAACATTATAGATCAGGTATCAAATGATGCTCTTATTTTATATGCAGATGACAATGTTATTTACTGTCCATCCCCCACATTACTTAAACTACCCAATATGAACATATGTGCAGCTTTTGAGGAAGTACTGTCTCATTTAAAAAGTCTAAAATTGGTGAATGCTGAAAGGCTGAAAACACCCAAATGCATGTTTATTAACTGGTATAATAAACCTGAACAAAATTTTTTCCAAGTTTCTGTGATAAACTTCATCCAGGTTTTGAACTTTGGCTTTGAGTAAACAGGTCAAATATACAGTTTTGGGATTCTACCATAGATTTTTGATACTTTAATTCATTTTATATCAAATCATGAAAAATGTGTCTGCAAAGAATGATTCCTGCTCATGGATCTTCTTTGAATGCATAAGAGAAACACCACAACATAGTTGCTTTTGCAGCTAAGTGTCCAGCTTATGAGGACGAATTGTCACTTTTTTGCCACCCTTACTTGCATGAAATATCTACATGTCTACTGATTAGATAATGACCACTGTGGGTGGGTTATTTGTGTCCACCACATTAACTTTAAGAAATCAGCATGTCAGTCGAGAATTTTTTGCTGCAATCCTTTGTGTAACCCCTGTATGACTGGACCCTGGAGAGAGGGACTGGGACATGAAAGCAGCCCTGGAGTCTAACCTGAGGCTACAACACAACACAATCAGCATGAGAACACAGCAAGGCAAGATTGTCTGAATACCCCACTGGTAGCAGACAGTACTGTACAACTGAATAAATATGTACCTGTACTGTAAATGTAGTAGAGTCAGAGTTTTACTATCATTTCTAAACTAATGTGAAGTACTTTATGCAATGAAACATATGATGTTTTGAAAATATTATTGTGCAGTGGCTTCATACAAACATTTTTCATAAACCAGTCCAAGACCCATTACTGCACATTCTCTGAAATTTCTTTCTGGGGCTGCTTCAGCGTCCTGCTGCTTGGGGGAGACTTTACTGTGTTCACAGAACTGGATTTGAGCCTGAAATTCCCTCAAATGTCATAAAGCTGGTAAAGAAGCTCAGGTCTCTACAGAGAAACTTGTCCTGAAGTCACTTCTGCTTTGTTGTTACTTTATGCTTCTGGCAGCGGTTGAAAAAAAAATGTGAATTGTTGCTTTATAAAAAGAGGTTTGTGTTTTATCTGATGGTCTATTGTGTCCCTGTAGATGGAAACCAGCATGATGTACACATCATCATGATGCATTACACTGGGAGTTTTGTCTAAACAGAGCATTTAATGCCGTTCATTATGTCATTTTTCTCCCACCTTACTAAGAGAATTGCCTTGATCCACAGCTGACTTATCAACTGTTTTTTAGATTTATTACAGTGCACCCCGCAACCTGCAGGGTTCCCTTTTTTTTTAAATGAACTCACTTTCTGTAAAAAGGTGCTGGTGAGTTATGGCAGATATTTTTCTTTCGTTTTGGTTGCTCCAAACAACAAATCCTCCCAAAATGTGTCTAAAATGGAACTTTTCAAATTTTCTAAAACAAAATGCCGTAATTCTAATCTCTTCATTGAATATTAATCCATAAAAATAGACACCTTTCAGGGGTAAAAAGTGTATAGCCCATTTATGCCAAAAAAAAACAAAACACCAACATTCTGACAAATGGAGGTTTGGGGGTTTTAGTAAAACAGCAGCTTCATTTACAGGAATAAAGATCATTGTTGAAGAGCCTAAAATCTCACAAATGTTTTGATGCCAACCTTAAAGATCATTGTGTAGAGAGTTTTTGAACTTCATTATTTGATCTTGCGAGTGTAAAACAGGAGAATTTTACGTGTATACCTTTAAACAGACACTTCAGATAGCTTCACTTTCACCATCTATTTATAGATTATCAGGAAAATTCTAGTAAATAAACACAAAATAAATAAATCTGTTTATTTTTATTTATTTTGAAAACTGACTTACACGTTCTTTAACATGCGTTTTTTTTGGCCTGTGGGAGGAATCCCACCTATGTAAAGTCTAGCAGCCAGGATTTGAATCTGCAACCTTCTTGCTGCGTAACAGCCGTGCTACCAACTGCAACACTTGGTTGAGCAAAAAGCACAAAGTATAAATACTTTTTCATAGACGATGCTATTTTGTTCTGGCTGCCCACACAAGGACAGTGCGATTCATTAACTACCACCGTAATGTGTATATAATTTTCAAAGCCTGATATTCCCCTCCAAGTTGTATTTTTTTTAATATAAAGTATTATGGCACACTTTCCCTGCTTACCACTTACTCTCTAAAAGACTGGATACCTTCAGATCTCTATCATCTCCTGAAGCCAGGCTGATTTATATATGTTTTGCATTTAGGGGCATCACTTTTAAGTGCTTTCATGTTTTCTCCTGGCCATCACCTCTTTATACTACCTCTAATTTTTCAAAGAACTCTGAGTTCCTAATTATCCTTAATGCCCTGGAAAAATGCTACAAGAAATGTTACAATAATTATCAAAAAGTTTCACCAAGATCTTTTAAAGCAGGCCGTTGAAACTTTACTTATGCAAAAGTTCTACTACTTCATTTAATCAATACAAGTTAAAGTAACAGTGTATATTTTTACTGTTAATCTCTGGAAATATCCATTGAAATGTTGTTGAAAATATTGAAAATGAACAAAATGATGTCCGGTCGTTGAAAAATGTTGGCGGCTTCGTAACATATAATCATGTCTAAAGTACATGGGGAATGGGTAGTGTCTTTGGCGGACGCCAAATTAGATGGCATTATTTCCTTCTGACCGGCTCGGGGTGCTGCGCCTGTCGATAACGTCACACTAGATGATTGGCTGGATATACGACTTTCCAACGTTGCCATGTTTGAAAACATTTAGGTAGCAAGAAACATGAATTTAACAACAAAACTGCTAAACTCTTTTAAAACCTAAGAAAAAATTGAATCGAAATTGAGATATAATATTTTTTGGCTGAGCGGTATTCCTGTAGTGTGATGTCATCGGCAGGACCCTGAGCAGATCTGGAAACCACAGACAATATTTAATGGTCATATCAAAGTCTATACTGGAAAGTACAATGCAAGAAAACTACAACTGCCATTGCATTCTCCCGATGGATTTAACTGAAGGACATCAAAGGCATCAAAGTCTGAGGACAAACATCTAGGTTGCATGCTTTCTGCTCCACAGGTAGCATTTATCATAATGTTTTTTAAAGTTGCAACAGTCACCGAGATATGGTGTAAAACTACTCTGAAATGTACGTACTGCCCCCTAGTGCCAGGAAACTACACATTGCCACTTAAAGGGTCTTCATCAAAACATTGACTGGTGATTTATTACACTGTCAATGAAAATATTAATTAAAACCAAGTTAGCACTAGAGATCAAGTCAAGTATCCACTGAAGCATTTCAGCTCTTTAAATTTCCCCTTTTCTTACCAAGCCTGACTTTTGCAATAAAAAAACATTTTCCACAAAGGCAGAAAGACACCAAACTGTGCATTTGTTCTCTTATTACCTTTACGGTTCTAATTCTATCAATGTTAAGTGGAAAATGTCTGCTCATGAGAGTTTGTTTGAGACACACACACACCAGCATGAATGGTAAATCAGACAATTCTCTGTAGTATGTAAACAGAAATAGTAGTGGAATATCTTATATCCAACTCATGTAAAAACCATAATTGTTCATTTGGTTATTTGTAACAAGATCCATAATTTAAATATTTCTGTTTTCATGTAAAATAGAAAAATTGAGAGCAGAATCAAATAGAACAAAAGCATTCAAATGAGTAAAGAACTACACATCACAAAACAACATGACACATGTTTACACCCTGCTGGGGGTAAAGCTGTGCGGGGTGTGTGTAATGTATTTCTTAACCAAACTGTATAATAGTAAGCATTAGAGAGAACAACTGATGCTAGATGACTCCTTTCATCTAATTATGAGATAATGACGTGGTGTTTTGTTACGCTATTTTTTCCGCTTCCTGTGATCTAATAGCTGAAATTATCATATTTCTTAGTGGATATAATTTCCTTTCTGCTCCTTTGAAAGCCTCATATATTTAGAGCTTTAACACACGTGCTGTGTGTGAGCCAGGTTTTGTCTGATGATCTAACTTCAGACCAGATCACCGATCCACTCCCACGATGTAGTATGGGCTGCTCACTTTAGCGCTTAGCCCCCTTGAAGTCCAAAATCTAATCGTGAAACGAAAAACAAAACAGCAAGGCTTATCTGACTTTGCTACGGTGTCAGTTTTGAACACAATGTTATTAAATAAGACAATCAGCACAATAAAATAAAAAAAGTTTATAAAATAAATTTAACCTCATTAACATCACATAACATTTCCTAACACAGCTGTATTGGCTTTTCTATAAGTGACAAAGGCCAATGTGCATGTAAACTCACATCTAAGTCAGTCTAAGTAGATATGAAGTAATAAGCCTTTATCCTGGGTTACATGTACATTAGAAAGCCCACACCTTGTGTGGAGTGCGGTGCCTTGGTCTGCCTGAGTGTTCGTGGCTCCCGGGACAGGGGGTTTAAGATTTTTGGCATCTGCCTGATCAATCCCGGTGGCTGCCTGGTGGGATCTGGGTCCCTGAGCTCTGCTGGGTACTCGGTGGGGGTGGTCGCCCCTGGGTCCCAGGTCGCTGGGTCCTGGGCTCGGCTGGCTGGGGGGTGGGAGGCTGCGGGCAGGCCTGTGGGCTTGCCACTGATATCTCCCAGGACTCTGCCAGCTGCTGGTTGTAGCTCCCCAGGGCAATCCTCTGCGCCTCTCGAGGGGGGCAGGGGCTTTTCTGGTCGCAGTCTCCTTGGGGTCCTTGTGTTCTGGGGCAGCTCCTGGATCTCTGGGACATGGAGCTCCCTCCATCTCCTACGCATCTTTGGGGGGCAGATCTGTGGCCCCTCACACTCTCTATCGGACGCTCCTATAGAGAAACCTTACATATACAGTACAAGCGCGTGTACACACACAGGTGCTCACATGGTGCTCTCATAAGTATGGGCTTAGGCACATTCAACACATGTCTTAAGGCTGTAGTTGGCACTAAATGCACTATAATTTATTAACGTGTGATTGTTCAGTAAAACAATGTTGATTTTATATTTTTTCATCAAGTTGGTGCAGTGATAGCTTGCTCCTGTTGTATTGGTGTGTGTCCCATTTCTGCAGGGCTAGAAGCAGACTCTTGTTCATCATTGATTGTTTATTTTTGTGAAACCCCCTCCCCCACCTTTTGTCTCTTCCTTTCTCTTTCATCTCTGTCTCCAAGTCTGGCCGGAATTACAAAGCATTCAAAAAAACAATAATAGAATAGAATAAAGTTTTAAGTATCAGGCGTGACATTAAAAGCAGAAGCTTTGATGCTCCACCTGAGAGTAAATCTGTAAGGCTTGCAACCAGCATTCAGACATTACTTCTGTTTGCTTCACAGCCAGACAGGACAAGAAATAAACAAATAAATAAAAAGCCAAAATCTCAATTGAAATCAGTTTAACTCTGGTACAGTAGGTGGTGACATGTGCCCTTTCATGTTGGCATTCGTCCGATTAGCTCATAGCAACACAGATAGTAAAGGTGTGATGGTGTTCCATTTTGTTACTTTGTGGCAAGTATATCAGAAGGCCGCTTCCGCAGTTTCGTTATTTCCAAAACCAGAATCAGAAGCGTTTTATTGCCATATGTGCGATAGATCACAATATTAGCTAATTGCTGTGGTACTTGGTGCAAAAAGAAAGATAAACATAAGAGATAAGCAAATAATAATTATGATGAAATGAGAAGTTATCAGCATCCGCTCAATGGAGCCGTTGCTGCAGTTGGTTTCCTATGGACTGCATTATCTGGGTGCTTCAGCACCATTAGAACCAGTTCACCTTCAGCAAGACTGATGTGTTTACGTGCATAAAAAAAAGTCAGTCTGTTTAGGGCAATAGTTTGCTTTTCTGCTGCACATTTTGTGTGGTTAACTGGAGTGTTCCCTATCTATAAAACCCAGGACTGTAACAAGCCACCAACAGTCCTTGATGTTTTGCGGCATTGCACAAATAAAATGGTGTTTTATTCTCCCATGAAATTTACAGTAGCTTGTATATTTATATTCTTACGGATTAGAACGTTTTTTTTTTGTTTGTTTGTTTGTTTGTTTCACTGCAGCACCAGATCTGGATCAGACTGGCACATTAGGGTTTAAATCATTTACAAGGCTACGATGAGGGATCGATGTTCACCGGGTTTACTGAGAAGATGTCGTACTCTCAGGGAAAGCTGATTGTAATCTCCAAAGTGTCCAAGATTTCATACACAGCAATTAAACAGCAAGAATAGTTAATTTAACACTAAAATGAGTTATATACCATATTTTCTGGACTATACGCCGCTACTTTTTCCCCAAGCTTTGAACCATGCGGCTTATAATGAGGTGCGGCTTTAATGAAGAGTTTCCTTCATCTGCCAGGGGGCGCTTTAGCAGAAAGTGAAACAGGTGGAAGTCAAAAGTGGAAATCGAAGAAAGTGCTCATTTCAATATAGCACATGCAAGCAGCCGGCACGACGAAACACTTTTTTTCAAATCCATACCCACTCATCATGGAAACTACACATATGAGTTCATATGTTGCCGCATTTAAGTTGAAGACCATCGATCTGGCAGTAAAGGAGGGAAACAGTGCTGCCACACGTAAGCTTGGCATGAATGAATTCATGGTTCGGCGCTGGAGACGGCAGCGGGAAGAACTCATTCAAGCCAGCTTCACCCGGGGATGATGACAGCAACACGGAGAGCGACACTGGCATCGCCACAGAAAAGGTTCAACTCCGACACTGAAGAAGAGGACTTTAGTGGCTTTAGTGCGCAAGAGGAAGTTGAGAGCGAATGACTTTTTCTGGTAGGCAAGTGTGTTTAATTTACTAACCAGGCATGTTTTGTGTGTATTTTTTATTTTATAATAATCCAGTGCTTATTAATGCTGTGTCAGCGCTGTTCTTTTCTTCTAAACATGCATGCAAATCACCGGTAATAACGTGTCAGTTCTGTTTTTATTTTATAAACATCCAGAAATATGAATACTATGCTGTTTTCTTTTCTAAACTTGCAGGCACGTTCACCCGTGTTTAAAATTTGTTTTGTTGAATTAAAACAACAGAAAACCTCCGTGGAGCGTCTTTCTGTCTAATTATCTTATGTTATGGCCATACATGCGCTGTGCGCCAGAGACCTGCATGCGGCTGCTGCGCCGCGGCTTGTATTTGAGTGTGGCGTGTGTGTGTAGAAAACCTTTTTTTTTTTGTTGGTGCAGGTTATATTGAGGTGCGCTCTATAGTCCAGAAATTACGGTAGTTGATATGTAACACTGACATGAGAGTTGAAACCAGTGTTTCCAAATCAACTCTGTAAGTGTTATTTTGGACAAATTAACTCCTGAAAATCTAACTCTGAACTCCCACAGCAGCTGTAACATCTGCAGAGTCATTTAGTAGACTCCACCCTTCTATTCTAAAAGTTGGACTGGTAGCGACCTGCAGTGGGCGAGGTGCATTGTGGGTAGTCATGTTTTTAGATAGTTTGTACTATTTTGAGGTGTTTATGCATGCTGATTTTGAAGAGTTTCGTTGTTCTTAGTTAGTACTTTGTTCACTGTTGCTAATGTGGTTTTGCTTGTTATGTCATGATTGTATCGTGAGTGAGGAGGCTGGTCAAAAGAATGGGACCGCTGTGTGTTCCACTATCACAATAAAAATGTGGTGCATGGTCCACACTACATGCTCTGGACTCTACTCCTTGTGATCCTCTCCCACTGACTGATTACAGTCATGAGGTGTACAAGGCTTGAGATAGCCAGTGTCTGCTAGTGTAGCTGGTTGCTTCCTGGCATGGCACACTGAAAAGTATTAAAATTCATTAAATCATGGTGTTGATTAATAACTTGAGTATAATAGTGACTCTGAATATTAACACTGGATATAGTGTACATGTTACACTGATTAGTGTTAAATACACATTAAAGTGACACCTTAACCACTAAAATGTCAAAGTACACTGGAAAGTGTCATAAAATAACACTATAAATGAGTAAAATTTTTAACACTATCAAAAGTGTAATTTTAACACTGGACTGGTGAGGATTATATAAACACTGTGATAGTGTTAAAAATAACACTATCCGAGTTAAATTTACACTGACGATTGGCTTGACATTTGCTTTAAACTAAGCTAACCTTATTTATTAAATAGTTTCTGCAGAGTAACAATGCAACATAATACTAGAGAACTGCATTGTGTCCAAACATGTTATTAATGGATGATTAGGAGCAACTTGGTATTGAAGGGGAATTTAAAGAGGCAGCCGCTGAGTCTTCAAAAATAAATTGTAAATAAATAAATAAATAAATAAATAAATAAATAAATAAATAAATAAATAAATAAATAAATAAATAAAAATAACTTTTAAAAAAAGAGTCTTACTGGAAAACAGAGCCCATTCTTTTGCCATTTTCAGGAACTCCGGGATCTGGACAGACGTCACCAGCAAGACCACTCTGACTCACTGGAACAAAGAAAGAAATCCATTAGTCTTCACTTGTTTAGGTCCAAAATTTGCAATCATTTCAGAAATGTTGACAAGAACTAGCGAGTTTAAGGGTAGGAGTGTACATGAGCCTTTTTGAACCTTTGCAGGTGAACGTGCATATCACATACATAGCAGTGCAATAAAAAGAAAGTGTCTTCATTTCTCATTCACCTGAAAGCAATCTACCTGCCTAATGTGCATTTTTTAAAATAGAGCACAAATGGGAAAATAAGACAAACGTTGTCAATCTTATATTTTGGATATTGCATCGGTTTTAGAGCAGCTGTGAACACCTGCGGCATGCCTGAAATGTAATGTAAATGGAAATTAGACCTGCAAGAAACCAGTTTAGACCAGTGCTGTCTTAATGGAATTTTGTGACTGAATAATGATGGTTAGAAAACCACAGAAATGTGAAATAAGAAGCTGGCTGAAGAGAGTGCATTTACAAATCCCCTGCAGAGGTTTAAACATTACCTGGAGAAATAGAAATATCCAAAATCTGAACTTTTCTTTTATCAGTCTTTTCCTGTTCTATTGCTCTTATTTCCTTCCAAACTCTCCCTCTTTCTCCTTTTTTCAGTGCACTCTGTCTGCTTTTCAGTCTCACACACATTAGCTGCAATTTATAAAGGAATGCCGAAGTTTGGAGCATTCTAGCATAAAAGATGGATGAGTGATTTGGTGCATTTGTGTGACTGCATTTTGTGTGTGCTCTGGGGTTTGTGAGCGTACAGACACTGTGTGAGCGTGTTTGTGTGAGATATGATGCAAATAGAACAAGCTGTCTTCTTGCTCGACTGTGTTTTTGATGTTCTGTCCAAAAATCATCACACAAACACTCTAACACATACTTTCTCTTTCACAACCTCTCTTTCCTCTCTCTCTCTCTCTTTCTCGCACTCCTGATCAAATGGCATTCATTGGCATCAAACACAAGGTTTATGTTGCAGAAACAAATCCAGCTCATGCAAACAACATGAGAATGTTTCAGGAAAAAAAGTGACTTTTGGGCAGATGTCAACATCTGTCACATTAATTTCATCCCATATTTGTACTTAAAAGACTATTCATCATTTAAACATAAGCTTGCAATGCACAACATCATTTCCATATAATCAAAGTGTATCCTGCAAACGTTTCATCTCTAAAAGTCAACTTTTTAGATGTTTTTTACAAAATTATTAATTTTTGAACTGTTTTCACATGATTATTTATTCAAAGTTGAGCCACTTTGCTTTCTGAACCATATACATTAGAATTGACAAATGTTCGTCAATTTTTATAATTTGCTTTTCACAGAGTTCTAATGAAAATCTTTACAAATCCCTGAAGGATCCACCACATGATTTCAATATTCTTCATTTATTGTGACTCCAGTTTTTAAAGGACACTTATCAGCGTTTAAGTCATGTAAGGAAGAGTGTTTAGGTCAATATTCTGTCATCTGTGAGGCCTTGGTTTATCCATCAAGCAGCAGCATATTGGAATGAGATGACTGATCACTGCCAACCATATTGATCACTGTCTTTCTGTAATGTTGGGGACTTTTCCCTGTCTCACAACCTAAAGCCATGCAACACTTTCATATTTCATATCATTTTCTTAAGCCAGTATGTGCTACAATGGCCCTTTACAGGGTTATTGAAAAGTCACTCTGACCCCCACCTGCCCTTGTGGCCAGAATACTGCATTTGCAACTTTAGCGTGCCAGTCTGGTCTGTTGCAGTCTGCTTCCAGCATGTTTCCTACACGTTTTAAATCATGAATGCAGATGATTTGTTTGATTTAATGATGATTTGCTTCTGTAGACACTAATGAAGACTGCAGATGTATTTCAACAGTTAGATTAATGTGTTAAAAAAGCCGAAAACACAGTGAGGAGATAAATTTAGCTTTTGAGTCTACTTAACAGACACTAGGGGTGTTATGGCCACCAGCCTGGCCTCTTCAGGTGCAGGAGCCAGGATCACCCAGCCCCGGTGATCAGCCAGACACCGCCCCTCCTCCTCCTCTCCTCCAGGCTGCTGAGGAGCACAGCTGAGCTGAATCTCTCTGAAGAACGACACCTGGAATAAAAAGGCTGTGCCTTCAGCAGTCTGGGAGGCAGCAGGGCAGGGATTCTGCTGTCCTCCGGGCCTTGGTTTGTTTTTAAACCCCTTCGTTTTTGAAGACTTTTAACTTTCATTGTTTTAACTCAGAGTAGATGAGCCTTAAAAAGTTAAAGCTCTATGTGATCCAGAGGGATCGTTTTTAAAGGTTAACTTGGTGATGCAATTTTATTGACTGTGGTTTTAAAACACCTTCTGTTCAGTAAAACCTTTAACTTAAGTTGTAACCGGGCTTTTTAATGTCGGTAATTGGTCTTTTAATGTTAACCTTTTTGAGAGTTTTTAAAAAAATTTTGGCATTATTTTAATAAGTGCTTTCTTGGTATCAAACTGTGTCTTTAAAATTCATGGACATCATATGTGAAATCCTTGGCACATAACAAGTGGAATTAGAAAATAACGTTTTTGGCCCCATTGACTTAATTTTTTTCTTCTGGTGACCCATGGTCCGAGAGTAGATGGGTGTGACTTAGGCACCCTATAGAAGAAATACAGTCTCACTAGAATTAGTTCTTCTAGTTAATCCTCACTTGATTGAGTTGATGCCTTACTGGTGTCATGTGATCAAAGAAGAGTCATTTGATTTGCTAAAAGCCACTCAACTCAATCGAGTGATTACTGCTTTTGCTTGGGTCACCAGGAGGTCACCTAAGTTGTTGAATTTCTGCTGTTGACTTTTTGCCAATTAAATTTTTACATTGAAATTCTGAAGATGTTAATGAAATCTAAGTAAATAAATTAAATTACATAATTTCAAAGAATAATTCAAATTCAGTGTATAAGTAGTCCTATTATGATGAGTTTATATTTCTTCCATAATCACATATATTATTAGTACTTATTTTAAACGAGGTCCTCCTGGGTTAGACAGCAATCAGCTAAAAAAATGTTTGTGTATGTGCGGACAACAAAAGCACAGTAAAAGTATCAAAGGAAATCTAATCTCAGTCCCCTAACGCATCGTGTCTCACCATATCAAGATGGCTGACGCTGCCTCTGCCTCTGCCCTGCCGGCGCCCTGCAAGCGCTCTCGGCTGAAACCTGAGATCTACCAGACTACTGAGAGTAAAGTGGTCGTCGAGGATGAACTATTGAGCTTCCTGCACCAAAATGAAGATTATGAGCCAAGAGGAGATTGTGTTACTGGCAACTAACACCTTTAATTCGGAGTGGATTGAGGCCTCCAAAAAGACCTTGTTTGATCTCTGTTCTACCACACAGAGTAATATTCAACATAAAGGCGCTCAGAAAGTACAAACAATTTAAAGATTTGTCTCAAAGTGCTGAATGAGTGTGGAAACAATGTCCCAAGGTTCGTGTCTTATAATCTGGAGGACCTGCCACTGGTGACATTTAGCAGCTTGGATGTATCTTATCTATAAGGAGAATGGAGCAGCTGAGCACTGAAGTAGCAACCCTTAAGGATGTAGTAAAAAGTCAGAGTGATGTCAGCCAAGATCTAAAGACAATTGCAGTGGAAATATGCAATCGGGTGAGTGCTTTGGAACAAAAAGCTGCAGCTGATCTAGCTACAGAAGCTACCAAGGCTGCTGAACAAAGTCCTGCAAGGGAATCGGCTAATGTAACTAATAAGGTTGTTGCTGCTACTATGGAGGAGTCTCACATGACCATAAACTGCTAGGCCTGGATTGTCTTGTGTCAATTGAGGACATGCAGTTGAATAGTGATTCTGAACTGGTGGAATCTGCAACAAAGTTGAATTTGGGTAGGACACAGTCTCCAATATGGAGTCTGGTTGCTGGCAAGAGTAGATCTCGTTTGAACAAAGTGGCAAGTTTGCCAATCTTGGTGTTCTCTAGCAAATGCCAAATATCCTGCATGGTGTGCACAACCCCCACCTGTGGAGATTGGGCCTTCACACCACCTTCACGGAGTCTGTTTCTGACCGTTTCTGCACCACATTTCCTGATGTACTGGCCTGTCTCCTGTTGATGCCTCCATGCTCTGGACACTACACTACACTTTTTTCTTCTTCCGGCTCTTGGAGAGTACAGACGCTTTTTTCTCCTCTCCCTACCTCCTTATCCCAAGGCTCTTTGTCCTGTCTTGTGTGCACGGCGCAATCTGCATGTTTTCTGGAAACTGGAAATTATTAAAAATGGACCTGGTCAGTTGGTCTCTCAACGCGGTTGACAAAATTTTTTCAACGATGAGAACGGGAGAAGGGGCTCCCGGATGCCCCTCTGGGACAGAGCCAGCTGGGTATATCATGGACTCCTGGAAAAAGTGGAGCCTAATATGCCTCTTTCAACTGTCTGTAGAGGATTCTGAAGATGTTTGGATATTCGTCGTTTTGGTGATGGGATTCCTGCTGTTTGGCCTGAGCGGTTACCTGGCTTACCAGAAAATTAAAGAGCTTTCGAGGAATATTGGCTCAATCCCGGAGCTCAGGGATGGAATGCATCGTGTTGTGAACGCACAAACTCATATAATTGTCAAGATAAGTCGTAAGCTTGGAACTTTGGCTGAACTTCAGGCTCTGGCACAAAAGGTGGATACCATCAAGGAGCGAGTGGACGGATCAAAACGAATTGGGATGGATTAATTACGCCATTATTGGATCTAGAGGGGTTGAAGACCAACAGAACACTAAGGCAGAGAGGAAATTATCTCTGTCTGTCCCCAAAACAATTTTTATCTGAATATGATGCCCTTGGAGCCTGTGAGGCTGAAGTGATAACTCCCCCCTCAGAAGAAATGTGGAATGCTGCCGTCGCTACAGAAACTCTTTCTCCCTATCCCAGCCTGGGCGGGGCTGTGACCGGTGAAGGCCGTGGAACCGTATCTAGGAGTCACTGTGCTCTCTAATCCATTATCTCCTTCCCCTGTCCAAACGAAGATGAT